CTTCGAAAGCTCTCACGCAATCTAACCCCTGGCAGACGTGAGGCTTAGCTGGTCGTTGGGGAGGAGGCAAAGAAGCATCGTGGTTCCTATAGGGGGAGGACTAAGTGACGGAAATGAGAGCGGATGCAGGAGGGTGAACAAAGGAAGATAGGAAGGGGGAAAGGATGTAGGGATGGCACACCGAAGGGGTCCGGAAGATCAAAATTTCGTCATTGGGTTTCATTAAAGGTTCTCGTGGTGTTATTGTTTTGAAGCTTTTAGGCGTTTCCTTTGCTTGTTTCTACGATATTTTTGTTTCACAGATGAACCAATCGGAGATGATGTGGATGTTTTCACCGGGAGTAGGCTGATGTTGAAAAGACTTGGGAATGGCATTTCTTTCCTACTGATTGCGAAGTGTAGTCCATTTTTACCAAAACCGCCTATAAAACTAGTCTACTTTGTTATGTTTTTAAAACTATTAACATCCTCAGCATTGGTTTATATTCGCCGCTAATAATCACCTAATTGTGTGTACTTTGATATGCAGAAGAAAACACTATACATTATAGATGCCTATGTCGAATCTTCTGTGCGGATCGGAAACTAGCTAAAACTATGTAGTAACAAAGAAAGTAACAGTAACCCTCAATAACGAACAAGAAAGGGAAATACGCTATAACTCAAATATAGTGCACTGTACCTTCAGAAGCCTGAGCAGCACATCTTAGGATACAGAAAAAATAGTGAAATAATATTCGGGGTGTATCTAAATATTTTAGTCGTCTGAGTCGTCTGTACTTGAGTGTAAAATATAAATATTGGTTTTAATGAAAGTGTTATAAAATGTTGAAAGCGGTTCATGTGACGAGGTAGGTTGACATTTCGAACTGAGAAAGTAAAAAAAAATATATTACTAGTGGCACATAGATGCACACAGCTGGTGCTAATCTTGAACAATCATGTAAACTGTGCAAGCCTTTATGAAACAAAAATGAATTGCATTCATGTATTCGCGAGGTTATTGTAGGAGAACCGCATCATCCTAAAAGTCTCGCATAACTGTACTGAACAATGCGGGCCATGGAGTAGCTATAAGCAAAGCAAAAAAATTCTCAACACGTTCATATTTTCTTAGTTTGTAGAACCAATACAATTTCAAACGACAGAAATAAAAATTAAATTGTATATGTATAACAAACATTTGAAAAAATATATAAGTTGACGAGACTTCAAGAACAAGTCTGGAAATGATGATAAATGAAATAAAAACTGTTATCTTCACTTAAACATAATAATACAAAACCAACAAAGCAGGCGAAATTAAATAATACTCACATCATAACCTGCTTCGATAACCGAAAGCCAGTGGTCACGAAGTTGATTGGTGACACACGACGATACATCACGAACCTGCTCGCTCTGCTCTTTCAATGTCCCCGTGTTACACTTGTTTCTCTTTTCCCCTTACATCACGGACGATGCCAACGTTCGAAATCTCAATGTACTAACTACGAACAGCTTAAAAAAATAACCATTTCGGGCACGGTTTAGAACGGAATGACCAATATGATTTGTGCAGCAGCATTTCAAGAACACTGCTTTGAGCGATTACCTCTGACTTTCCCAGCTTCTAGACAAAAAGAACCACTCTGTGGTATTCGCCTTAGACTAATATAACTTATTAATATGATAAACACTTAAGAATCGGATTAAGACATTTCATTCAAGTACGCAAGAATTTGACGCTGTAAGACAAAACCTTGTTATGAAAGCTAGCCCATACCAATGCTACATATAATGGAAGTTATTAAATAATTTTGAATTTGTGATTTTCTTGTCCGGCTGATGTGAATTATCGGTCAGCATGCGTCGTGTCGTCTTCACATGACCTTTATTCTGGTTTCGTTAAGTTTCGTCCCGATCAACTATCATTCGGTCATGTCTAAGGGCGACGTCTCAGTGTAAGTCCAAAGCTATTCCAATCCCATACTTGAAACACCTACAGAAAAATAATTTTATTGGCTAAAAACTGACATAACTACAATTGGTTAGGTATACCGGTGTTTAGACAATACTACATCATTAATTTCTTGTAGCTGTTTCAATTATGTCATTAAAATACCTCCAGGTTTGAAAAGATTGTTGCGGGACTTTCTTTAACGTCATCTTCATAGAATGTTCCTCGCTGAACATATATGCAATGTATCGAGTGTGAAATAGACTTCGACGAATTTGTGATGCCCAAATGTGGTGGCCCGCAGCCAAAATTATATTTTTAATGAAAAGTCTTAGTAAAAATTATTATATTTTGGTGTAAAATTCGACTTCAACAAAAAGGTTGAAAGTTGGAAGCAATTTTTCCTATCGACAACATATTTTAGGCTTAAGGATTTATATTTCCAGGCTGCTGAAGGCTCAACTGAGATATTTGACGCAAAAAGGGCCAAACGTTTTTCTCACTTAGAATAATTTTAAAAAATACGTCAATACGTCTACAAAACACATCATTTTATTAAATGGAGCCTCTAACCTACAATAGGCCTAAAGCGAGAACTGATGTTTTATTACAGATGTCCAATATTTCCAACGATTGATTTGGAACTTAAATTCTCGATATTCCTCAAACTTATGCCAGAACCGGTATTTTTAACTATTCAAAATAGAAGAATCAAAATAAAAAATATGGGAAGACGTGTTCTACAACTTGAATTGACTTGAACAGAAATTATTAGATGCCTTCCATGTGTTTGACTCGACGAAACACATAGTTCATGCAAGCTTTTTTCCTGTTTTTTCATGTGAAACATTGTTTCACCTAAATATGGGTACCTCAAACGATTGTCTCCCCATCGCTTCCGCTTGCTCTACGATGGACCATGTCAAATTCGCTAACCGTTAATGATTAACACAACAAAAACACATGCAGTGCTCTGCAGACCCAGAAATAAATTTCCTAATGTTCCCAAACTTGACCTTAAGCTTTGTTCAGTACGTATTCAAATTTCTTCAATAACGAAACACCTCCGAGTACTCTTTGAAGAACATCCCTCATGAAATAATGTTGATATGACTGCTGAAAAAAAATAGAAAAAAAACTGTAGGTAGACAATCTAAATTGCTTTAGTTTCGGTCACAGTGTATAAAACGTCCTGTATAACTATCTGTTCTTGTCTGTCATTATTTATTGTTTGTTTTTTTTGGTCTGGGGAATAAGGACTTTGACCAACACAGAGCACGTTATTCAGAAACGTACCATAAGAAACACAGCTAATATGCATACGATGCTCACACAAAACAAGCCTTTTAAAACATTTCGCACACCTTCACTAGCTCCGTTACGCAACACTACGTTTTTACCATGATATAATAAAACATTAGGAAACACACCATACTTACTTTAGAATTATCTCATTTAAAACGTAAAGTACACACACACGACATACGTGCATTTGCGGCTGGTTCATTTCACTAACACGTACATGCTGCTGCCGTCAAATACTTAGTTTTTACCAGGCTGTTTTTACTAAATAACCTTGGTGTTGATTAGCAACCGTAAATCATTATGATGGTTGTGATATCGCTACTGTTACCATCGTGTTTTGTTCTCCTATTTTTGGCACTTTAAATCCTTCTTACGTTGTTTGTTCCATCGATGTTGTTATAATCGTGTTTCATTTGCAATGTTATTACGTACGTTTCATGTAACTATCCGCTTCATTTATTACGCGCCCCTGCTGTCATTTTAAGGATTTTGCAGGGTGCAGACCCATAGTCAATCCTTCCATGGGCTTTTTGTTTGCACCGCCAACCTCTATGTGATGTGAATAAAGTTTTTATTTAGTTTCAATTGATTGGATTACACATTAAAAAATTACTAATTTTTACAACTGACACGTTCGAACAGCCCAGGCTCCCTGGGGGATATAATTTTAAGGATTCGCTTATCACTTGCTGCGTCGTGCTAGCTGCCCTCACTAGCGTATGTTAAAAAAACGCTTTGTATTATGACGTCACAATTTGTTCTCTGAAAACATACATCTTTTGCCACTAAAACAGAGGTGCATCATTGTTATTACATAAAACTATAGGTTAAACATTTCAGCCAATCTTATAAATATAAGTCTTTTGGTAACGAGAACATAAACATTTTAGAAGGGAGACATCGACCCACCTTCTTTACGGAACAACAGTTAGACTTTCCTGGGTTATACATTTTTTTCTATTCAATATTAAATTTAATTAAGGTTAAAAGCTTCGTTTGACCTTATCTCAAACGGTAATCATGGCATTGTTGATCGAATGTCATGTGCTGAGCTCTTTTTTTTTTTTTTACTGGAAGGGGGCACAATAGCCGTTTCCATATGTCTTTTTTGTCTCATACTCCACCCGGGCGCTTTAAAATAATGATTCCATTAAAGAAATATGGGCATAAATGGGGCTAGATTTCTTTTAATAAAAAGTTAATAATTTACTCACTAATTTAGTACGCTACGCACTTGCTACATCAATACCAATCGCTATTTTTTATTTTTGTTTCAGCAGCTAACGTTCGGCAAACTACCATCGTGTCCGCAATCGCCTATATGCATCCAAGCACCAAATCCACGTTCGTGAGTACGACTAATTGATTAACTAATTATAGCTCGTCAGTCTGTGTCACCATATATTTAGTGTTGCATTGTTGTAAACAGTGTTATCTTATACCCTAACTTTGTTTTTTTAATTTTTTATATGCTACACTCTCTAATATAAAGTAATACTGCACGTAATATGCTGTATACGTACACTCCTGCGACTCTAGAAATGCGCAACTTTGCAACCCTCAGCCTTAGAATATACACGTGTCAACTTTCACTAGTCTTTTTCTTTTCTTTTTAAGGCATGTCAGCACATTTTATGTTCAAATTGTTTTAAATATTATATTATAGCATCTTTAAAAATGCGCATCCTAGCGTTAAAAAATAAAACACTTCCTTCAATTTGTTAATATTTAGCTCACAAAATGGAATGATTCTTACCTCAAACTTCTTGTGAAATCGTATCCCTTGACGACGCTGGCAATTCATGTGGGGATGAGGTCTTCAATATTTCCGATGAATCTGGAGTACAAAATAAGTGTTTTATGACTTTGATATTATTTAAAGATGGGCTGGGCTATTAAACAATCTGAAAAAAACATTTGATGCTTGTATTTCTATTTGTTTAAGCTGCCACACTATAATCGTGTTTAATCTCATCAAATAGAGGTTTTTACTACATAGGATACTTCCGTAATCACCCGGTGTTGAGGAGGGGGTAGACACCTAGGGGTAACAAATTGCCTCTTATCGAGATACCGATTTATTATGTTTCTTGAAACGCACACTCACTGATGTTTCAAAATTCGAGCTAGTTACACACGGGAATATTTAAATCTCATATTATCAGGGCCACATTGAAGTGCGAATATTTGAAACGAGTAGCTTCGTTGCAACATATAAATGTTTGACAGTGAATCTAGTTGTTACACAGCTAAAAACATTTAAGGCTATATTTTTATATCATGCAGCCCAATACTTTGGAATATGTTACGTCACCACATTATTCCCAGATTTAACTGTCGCACGCAAACATTTGGAAGCCTGTTTAGATTACCGGTGCTCATCTAATACAGTTTGGGTCCGTAAGGACTAACACGTCAGGCGCCCTTTCAAACTTCCACCTCCACACGTACATGATTGACATTGGGTACGCGAACCTAGTTTCGCCGGAGGTTTTATGTATATTTTTAAAGCTCAATTCTTAGGCAATAAAATATTAAAAATAAAGCGAAATGAGAGGCCGTGTATTTCCTATGTCTTTTACCAGCCTGGTTGTCGTCTGCAGACTGTTTTAAGAGCCCGCACCCGGGTCGCTTGCTGAACGAGAAAAAAAAACGCAAAAACCAAAAGCAGAAACTGGAAATAAGCAAGACAATCGTGATAATTAATACTTTTAAAGAAATATATTAGCAATGACCACCAGGGAGCAAGCTCGCAAATTAGTGTGCAGTCGACAAATATCTGGATATAAGGCGTAGGAAATACATAGCCGCCTATATTGCTTCTTTTTTTTAAATTTTAAAACTCTTGACTTGAGGTTTAAAAGAATATACATAAGTATTCTTGTAAAACGACGTTTGCGTGACCTATTTAAGGTACGTACGTTTGGAATTCGAATTATGCAAGGCTGCCCCATATCTGTTAGTTCTTAAGGTCACACCCTGTACATCCTTTTTACCTTTGATAGGTTTTTAGAAATCGAATGAAACAGCCCATAATATGAATTTGTATAGAGGCTGCCACAGATATATTTTGTTGGCTCTTATGCTACAACCTCACTATTAAGTAGTGAGAGCAAAAGCTATCTCTAGTTGTGTGACATTATTCAACAATAAATGATAAAAAAATAACATATTGCATACCTTATATGAGCGGGTCCATCAGTAGATACGTTGCATCGTCAAGATGAGCACGCTGGCTCGACTGAATTACTCAATGGAACTAAACCGAACGATTCCTCATTGGAGGAGACGTCAATCATTGTACCGCCGTTCACCGGCCAATAGAAATTCAGGAGACCTTGGCAAAAAGCGAGGAGGGGTTTCTGACGCTGACGAATGGCCGGGGGCGACCCGAACACCGTCCATTTTAAACTCAACTGCGACGGTCGTAAAAGTAAAACGGCAACGATCGCAGCCAGATGGACGACAATGCTGATGTCACTTAAAGTGACAGCGTTGAGGAAGAAAACAGGAGAGAGGGTGGATGCACATGGAACCAATTAAGGAGGGCTTCACTCCCATTACGCCCCCTGGCTTGAGCATGAACCAGCTCAAGCCCACCCGCTTCGTAGGAAAAGAGTCGCGTTACTGTCATCATCATCATCATCGTCATCATCATCATATATTTTTAAAAAAAGTGTGAAACTAAAGGTGTCACAACGCTGTCCTTGTGTGTATCGTCGCCATCACCATTTATTTTTCTTGAGGGCCCGTGGGGCATTATGTTACGCGGTGGCAATAAAACAAAAAAGAGAACAGTTCACGGATATATAACACTGTACTATAATTAGCTAGCTTAAATAGAAAGAGGGCAATGGATTCAGCAAATTCAGTAGTATCATTTATAGAAGCGATGTTGTAAGGTAGCGAACTCCAATCCTCGATAGCCAATTGTGGTGTGCATGTCTCGTGAGAAAGAGTTGACGACCGAATTTGACGTAATTTACATGGGAGATCGAAACGAAGGAATATACGATGTGGGGGTGATAGTAATTATTTTCTAAGGTGGATATTGCGATAAAACAAAATTTGATGAAGGAGAAAGAGGCGTGACACTCGGCGGCGAATGGAATGTGAATGAAGGTTAGCTGAATGGCGTACTCGTGATTGCGGTATCTTGAGTAGTTGTTATAAACAAAACGAATGGCTCTGTTTTGAACGGATTATAGATCATTTGTGAGGCATTAGTGCCATAGAGACCAAGATGAGGCATATTCTAACCTGGATGTTATAAGAGTGGTGTACGCTAGTCGTTTTACGAAAGGTGTAAGAAGTTAGAGGTTTCGACGCAAATATCCAAGAGTACGATTATTATCAGCATAACTGAGGTTATGTGAGTAGTCCACGTAGGTCAAGGGTGAGATGAAAACCCAGGTATTCATAAGATGAGCAGGCTGTTTCCTGTGTGTCAGAAAGGTAAACAAAAATGATGTGGCACGTGAACTTTGGGAAAATGTCAGGGATTTATATTTATTAAAGGTTAGGTTCATTTGCCACTTTTTGCACCGCTCAATTAGAGACGCAATGTCTTTCTGAAGAATTACATGATCATGGTATAAAAAATGGGTTGGTATATGACACAATCGTCGGCGAACAGGAGCACAGATGAAGATATTTTACGGTGGAGATCATTAATTTAGATTAGGAACGGCAGCGGGCCGGGGATTCCGAATTTTACTTGACAACGTATTGGTGAATATTGATAAGGTTAAGCTTCGTTAAAAGATGTTGACGAGGAACTTCGTCGAGTGCTTTGGGGAAGTCAATGGAAATGGTGCCAGTTTGAACATTCAATTCGAAGCATAATAAATGTCAGCAAGGAAAGCGGCTACCTAGGTTTCACACCAGTAAAATTGACTAAATCCTTGCCGATGTTGGAAAGTAAGGTTCTGAGCGTCAGGAAAGGTGATCATATTTGAATAAAGTATAAGCTCTAAAAGCTTAGACGGAACACTGGTGAGAGAAATGGGACGGTAATGACCTATGAGCTGACGATCGCCAGTTTTGTGATCAGGAATTACGCTAATGATTTTCCAGTCAGACGGAACTATATAAAGCGTGAGGGATGTGAGAATATGTCACAGTGAAAACCAGGGAAAATGTGTTTAGTTATCCTTTATATCTTCGGACTTAATTTGGTCATCCCCAGAGCTCGAGGATACGTTTAGGTCATCTATTGCTTTCAATACGCCTGCGTCGTAAATTATGATTCATCTGAGGGTGAGATAATGGGCTTGGTTCGGAAACGGTTAGCAAGTCTTCGTTAGTAAAGATTGAGGTTGAGAATACTGTAAACGACTTATTTTTCGCGGGTTCCATATATTTCGCGATTTAGATCAAACCTGAAGTTTTGGAATAATTCGCGGGTTTAATTTCCGCAACGCGGTGGGATCTCAATATATATTTTAATGTGTTTACATTTTACCGGAATTGTTCCGGGACCTATTCTTCGCAAATTGTAGGCGATTCGCGCAATTCACATAAATTAGGTCCTCGCGAAAATTAAGTCGTTTACAGTATGTTTAGATCAAGAACGCTATCTTCGTCTGAAAGGGAAATGCCGTCGTAATTTATTTAACTCCAATGGAAGTGACAGAGCTGAGTTTATCACTTTTCATAACTTTTTTTTGTTAAAATGGTCATGAGTATCAAATTTTGATTCGGCATCCGTAATGGTGGTTTGTATGTTCTAGCACATGCATGATATGCATCCCACGAGACTAAATTGTTAACCGACTTCGCTAGTTTAATTACCGTCTTTTTTTATTTGCATGACTATGGACTGTTATAATGCACACCGCGAGACAGTTTTCAGATATAATGCAGATCAGTGGAAGGAAACGCTCAACTGAGCGGGCTAGCATCTTTTTATAGAGCGATAAATTTTCACCGACGGTTCTTTCCTCAAAATTTACAGAGAATGGTTGGTAAAAGCCTTCGAAGCATGAGTTGATGGAAATGTATGCAGCCCTATAGCGTAATCTCGAATGTATTTGCAATAGTGTTATTTCCGAGGAACAGGAAGAGAGAGAGAGAGAGAGCGAACGTGTGTGTTATGTCGATGACAACAAGGTAGCTAATTCCTGGTAAATAGATGACGCTGCTGAATAGTGAAGGCTCCTAGTTCAAACAAAAATCGAGTATGTTGCTGCAGCAGTCGGTAATTTTGGTAGGCTGCATGATAATATTTGATAGGTTGTAAACTAGGCAAATATCTATAAATTCTTAAGAGGAAGTGCAAGTGGATGGGAAGGTAGATCAATGAATATTCGGGTAATTAAAATCTCCAAGAAGTACGCCTGGCACCTTATGATATTGAATACCGAGTTCAGAACGATACCTTGTTAAGCTAAATACTTAATTCCTTATAGCTATCAAGTGGCCTAACATATGCCTAGCACAACAGATAGCGCAGTAGGGAGGTAAACCCATACCACTTCTAGACCGGTACAAATCGGAATGAGTCAAGACATGATTTGATTATTAATAGCCAAACGTACTCTCCACCTCTTTTTAGTGACTCGGTGGCACCTGTACTTTAAATACGAAAGTTTGGATAAAAAGGAAACAATTCAGCACCCGATATGTCAGGATTCAGTCACGTTTCAGTAAGCTCAACAAAATTGGAATTACATGTTTCAATGAAGCAATACTAATTATTTCTGTGGCTTCAGGCATCTAATGTTAGTAAACATAACAGAATAATCGAAATATTTCTTGTTGATAACATTGTATTTTGCGGATTCACCATGGGAAGTCAAAGGGAACGAACGGTGGCTTTGCTCCACGCATCTCTCAGTAACTGATCCCAGAACGTCATCGATCAAAAAAACACTTGCCATATATCAAGAGCTTGTCCTGATGGAACCGGAAAGGCATTTTTTTTATCTAGCAAAATAGAAAATATTATACATGGCATGCAAGCCTGACAGAAAATGAAAAATCTTTGCTGATTGCAATACATGTGCCTTTAAGCTGGTGCGCTGAACCAAGAATGCCGTTTTTTTTAACGATGAAACTTTTATGACGATAGGACGTCATTTCTATGAATTTAGTGCACCTATACTGTGAGCTCCTTCAACTCCGGAAGGGTACAACTTTGATACTGAGTTTCTTGGAACACAGGCCCATGACCCATCCCTCGGATTCAGCCCAAGTTTCCTTGTTGGTGTGAGCCATTCCGAAAAATAATGAATTAGAACAACGGGACCTGCTCTCCACTTCGTGGCAGCCTGTTTTTAATTTAGACAGCTCGCTAGAAGCTTTGGTAACGTGAGGCTCAGCAGGTGTAACGCAACCATCTCTTTCCTTCCGGTAGTTAAGTTCGCTCGAATTCGGTGTTACGCGTTCCTCAAGACCTGAAACGGTCGCATTAGCCTGCTTTTGGCGCTCTCTTAGCTAAGTGACTTCCTGCAGGAGTATATATTGACTCTCATGAAGCTTTCCAACACTGTCTTCAAGGTCAGTGAATTGTGCTAGCTGAGTTAGAGTCCTAGGACCTTGGTTTATTTCTACATCATCAGAAAGCAGCAGCAAGGCAAAAGAAAATATCAATACAAGCTTTGCAATGAAATACAAACATGACAGCGTCGAAAGAAAAAGTTAGAAGGCGCTTTACGTCGGTCAGGCACGACACTTCAAAGGATATGTTGTTATTTGGATGTCTGAAATTTGCCTTTTGCATGTAACTAACCTGCGCCATGAAGACTGAACGTGGATATTGTTTGTCGAACCCAAAAATTCCATCGAGGAAGATCCTTTTGAAGGTAGCCGCCGGACGGAAACAGTTACATCCCGGTGTGCCGTCATGCGGTTGTAGGAAAGGGACTACGTTGGCCGCGTCTAAAGTGAGGCAGCATGACCTTCCTCTTGCCCTGCTGAGACGGTGTGGAAAGAGTGATCCGGTGACCATGACGAAGGGCAGGCCCCATCGCCCTCCGAGGCACTTGGCGAAGCCATGAACAGGATTAACAGCACCTGCGTCATGAAGACCGTGAATATCGGCATGTCTTTGTCGGCTGACTAATCCGCTTGCCTTAAGTTTCCTCCCGAAAAGTAGGGGCTACGCCAACATATGAAGTCGAGCTGTGTTGGAGCGTGCTTGACGTATGGTAATTCATAGTTTGTGGGTAAAACTGAAGTCGCAACATAATTCATATAGATCGATAAAAGCTACATAATCGCAAGGAGACAAACCCTAACCAAATATCAAGCAGGCGTACTTCGAGGGCCTCGAAATAAATATTGCAAAAAATTCCTCTTGGCTGTTCTGTAAACTAAGGGTCTTCTGGTTTTTCGCAGTTGCCGCATTAGTTTGGCAGGCCGTATAAATGCAATG